AAAATTTCTTTCTAAATAAATCAGAATCATTTCTCAGAACGTCTTAAATAATCGAAAATTTGGGTGGTGATAGAGAATAGAATGCATTACACAATATATTAAGAAAAATTCTATGATTGTGGAAACTACACAAATATTCTTAAAAATCTATAATTACTACCTATATAAACTTATATGTCCTTAATATATAAAAGCTACTTTTTATGAAAAAAAAAGACTTAGAATTATTTCTACCAACCTCTAGAATTCTTGAAGAATCCCTTTATAAACTCTTTTAAACACATTTTAGTTATTATCTATATTTTTGGATTCTTCAATATATCTCTCTTTCCCTTACACACAATTTCAAACCCATGACACATTCATTCGCTAGATTTAAATTAGCCGACCTTAACCCCTTCTCATTGGATTTTAAACTCTATTTTTAAATACGAACTCTAACAAATCACACCAACTTTCAATATCAATTCCAAATACCAACAACTAATGTTAATGAACTCCCGCCATTAATAGCTTCCTTTTATTAAAACAAACAAACCAAAAAAAATCTATATATTGATGAAGATCACCTTGCGTGCTTCTTGAGACTCTAACGCACACACACACACACTCGCACAAATTCTAAGTAAAGCCACTTTTTTTTAGCCATTATTGCTATTATTATTTCATTGTTTATTATTATTTTTTTTCTACCTCAAATCAATGACCCGCTGCCAACTATATATGCTGATGATTGTGATTAGGAAGAAGCCCCGGCCCCACCTTTAATTGAACACACGAAATGCCACAAAAAAAAGGAGAATCTGAATGTAATAATAATTCAAAAATAATAACACAAATACGAAAATGAACGACCGGTGTTATGACGCCAAGTCAAGACTTCAATGACGAACAAATAAGTACTTCCAGATACCAAGTGGTAAGAAGGAGACGCAGCAGGTGATGAAGCCGAAGAACAAGAATGATACATAGAGGAAATACAAAAGACAGAAAAAAATAGTCAACATTTATATGAATATTACCAAACCCATATTTAGTAAAGGTCTTTAGCCAGACAGCCGGCTTCCAAGGCACACACACATGTGCTCGGCGATCAGTGACTTTAGCTGCAAAGCTTATACACGGAGTATTGGATTTTGTTCTTTAAAAAATGAAACTTGCAATGTCAATTTTTAGAGGGGTGAGAGGGAGGACAAGGATTGGGATCACATGAAGGAAAAGTCTTTGGATGTTGAATATCTCAATTTTTGTAAATAGGCCATGTAGGTCCACGTTATCATATATCCCCCATATAACGGTACCTCCTGATATTCGGTATTTTGATGATTTTAGCGACATTATTCACCGGAATTGTTTCAAATTTGGCATTTGACGTTCGTAATGGATACTACAGCCTAAGACAGAAAAGTATCTGTGCAGGTCCACGTCTTCGTATAGCCCTCATACAACGGTACCCCCCGATATTCGATATTTTGACGATTTTAGCGACATTATTTACCGGAATCTTTTCAAATTTGGTATTTGAAGTTTAGCGACATTATTTACCGGAATCTATTCAAATTTGGTATTTGAAGTTCGTAAGTTCGATACTACATCCTATGTCAAAAAATGAGCCATGTAGGTCCACGTCTTCATATAGCCCCCATATAACGGTACCCCCGATATTCGGTATTTGGATGATTTTAGCGGCATTATTTACCGGAGTTGTCTCAAACTGCACATGTGAAGTTCGTAATAGATACTTCATCCCATGCCAGAAAATTGTTTGTGCAGGTCGACGTCTTCGTATAGCCCCCATAAAACAGTACCCCCTATATTCGGTATTTGATGATTTTAGCTACATTATAAACAGATTTTTCTTCAAGTTTCGCATTTAAATATTATAATAACTTATGACAAAAGTTGCCTATGCAGGTCCACGTCGTAGTATAGGCATTCGGTATTTTTAAGATTTTAACAGAATTTTTAACGGATTTTATTTATTTATTTATTTATTTTATTATTATTTTTTTTTTTTTTTTTTGGAAATTGCCAAATTTGTGCCAAATGGTGGAGGGTATTAAAAGTTCGGCCCGGCCGAACTTACAGCTTTTTTAATTGTTGCATTTATGTTTTGTATTATTCGATTTCATTTCTGGGGAAAATGTCTTCAGTCAAATTTTCACATTCAAGTGTCCCACAAAAATAAATACGTCCTTCCTTAAGACAAGTTTGCACCAAATCGGATACTCGCTTTGAGAGTTATCGTGCGCACCAGCCAGACAAACGGACGGATCTAGCGATGGACTCCAAATGTTCTGAAACGGATTTTGTCCAAAGAGACCTAGGGTCTGAAACAGTTACTTCTATGAGGCATGTTTTGGCCGTATCAAATTATATATACTCGCTCTAGCCATATGATAGATGGTATAAAAATTGACTACTTTTGTCAAGGAAGAAATATTTTTAAAAGTCAACTTTATTCTCCTGCAGTTAAAAAATATCAGTCGGTATTGCCGACAGATGTATACCCTCAGCCAATGTTCGATTACTTAAATATATTTTGACTTCTGTTATGATTATGCAAATAGTTGACCCTCTATGGAGTGGGTTTCGAAGGAATGGTCCAATATTGTCCATTTCGTCTGGAACCTAAATGGAGATATATTTAGATATAGCAAGTTGTAAAGAATCGCTGGCTTCGCAAGCTATGACAGACCAAAGTATTGAAAATTGTTACCCTTTGTGGGTGAGGTACCGGAGTGGGTTGGCAGATATCTATCGTCTTCACAACAGATCTTGTGTTAGCAAAAATGTTTGTCTGTGTGAAATTTGAAGAGAGTTGGATGCTTATTTCACTTTCTTTGACCGTTTTGTTATTCAAAACTTTGACCCTTTGTGGGGGAGGTATCAGAAGAAATTGTCCGATCTCTACATTCTTTACCACAGATCTTGTGTTGATGTAAATATATTGAGATGTACTAAGTCTGAATGGAATCGAATGTTAATTTCGCGTTCTATGAGATTCATGGATATTTAAAACCACAAGGAATGGTCCGATCTCTACCATCTTCACAGCAGATCGTGTATTAGTAGAAACAAAGGGATGTGTGAAATATGAAGAGAATCGAATGCTTATTTTTGATTACTATTATCGTTTTGGTTATTCAAAACTTTGACTCTTTGTGTAGGAGGTGTCCTGAAACGGATTTGGTTCTAAGATACCTAGGCTCTAAAACCGTTATTTCGATAAGGCACGTTTTGGCCCTATCAAATTATATATACCCTCTGCTGAGGATATAGAAAGAAATTATGAGGAAATATTGTCAATATATAACAAAGCATGATTTACAAGCATAAGCGTGACTTTACATATGTGTAAACTTGATTGTTCGAAATTTCGAACACGAAAAATCGGAAAATTTTTCTGAGTAAGTTTTTGACATCAGTGGGTTCAATTTACTGTAAACAAGTAAGAAACCAGTTAAGCACGAATTTAAAAATTACAACAAAAAAATCCATTATCAAATCTTTTAAAATCTTCAGAATACAGGATATATTGGCCTCTATACGAAAACGTGGATGTGCATAAGCTATTTTTGTCATAGGCCATTACAATATCCAAATACGAAACTTGAACCAATTCCCGTGAATACTGTCGCACAGACATTACAATACCAAATGTAGAAAGGTACCATTATATGGGAGCTGTACGAAGAAATGGAGAACTCTAAATACAAAATTTGAAACACTTCCGGCCGATAATGTCCCCAAAATTATCAAAATACCGAATATAGGAAGGTATTGACAATTTTCGATGGCAGGCCGTAGTACCCCTGAGGAACTTCAAATTCGAAATTTGCAACAATTCTGGTGGATAATGTCGGCAAAATCATCAAAATACCGAATATGGGGAGGTACCTCTTATATGTGACCTATACGAAGATGTAGACCTCCATTGATATTTTTCGATGACAGCCTGTAGAACCCCTGATGAACTTCAAATATGAAATTTGTAACACTTCCGGTGAATAATGTAGCTAAAATCATCGAAATACCTAAAATCGGGGAGCGCGGGCTATACGGTATTGTGGACCTATATAGACAATTCTCTTCCAGGGGGTAAAGTGCTTAGAAAGAACTTTTAATATGGATTTTTAGATAATTCCATTAAAAAATTAAGCTAAAATCATCAAAATACCAAATATAGGGAGGGAATACTCTTTCAGGGGTTAAAGTACTCTAAAGGAACTCCTTTTGTGGATTTTCAGGTAATTTCAATTTGTCTGAAAAATTTGTCCACAATCATCAAATTACCAAATATCGGGAGGTACCGTTATATAGGAACTATACGATATCGTGGACCTATATAGCTCGTCTTTTTTCTTTCAAAAATATATTTTCTGCACCGAAAGAGAAACGATAATCCGATTTGGTTCCAACTTTGCAAATCCAAATATTTGCAACAGTGCTAGGTCAGGCGCGAAAAAAAATCGCTCCACTCCATCAAGTACCTTCCCCAAAATTTTGAATAATTACAACTCTCATAAAATGTGATATAAGATTCCAATTGTCTTCAAATTTCCCACATCCCTATACTTATATCAACTCAAGGTCAGGTGTTGAGATGGAATATATCGGTTCATTCATATTTCCATATATTACCAATTCCGCATAGTGATGTAGGAACAATTTAAGAATTTATCCTCGAGTCGTACATATGATGAACTCCTAATTAATCCCCATAACGAAAAAAGAACCCAAGCACCTCCTTTTCATACGAATGGAGAAAATTTATAAAAATTCTAATTTTAAAAATGTAAAAAAATGTGTAATTCTTGTTCCGTCAGCTGAAAATATACTTTTTTTTTACTAAAATAAATTCTAAAATTTAAAATTCCGCCTTAAAAAAGTTAAAAAATAAAAAAAAATAAATTGTTCTCAAATTTTTATTAAAAAGTTCTTAGACTAAAAATATGATAAAATTATAACAATATTACAATAATAATAATAACAATTACCTTTTGTATTAAAACACTTGAAGTTGTCAATGAATATTATGCTGTTGTAGCTGCTGTAGTTGTTTTTTGTTATGTCAGTTGCTCGCTGCTGTTTGAGTTGTCACTTTTGTTAGATGATATGGCGTTTGAAATAAAAACAAAAACAAAAAAATCTACACACAGTAGCACTTTTAACGTTTATTGTAGCGTTATAACTCACAAACCATGGAAAAAAAGAAGCATACGCTAACCACTCGAATTGGAAGAAACAAAAAAAATTGATATTAGAAAAAAATGTTTTTCCTCCAAATACCGCAAAAGCCGGCTGTAATTTAACACTTTCTCAATAAGACAAGAAAAAAAGAGACAGACGACAACGACTGCGGCGGGCAGATAGATTAAAATAATAAAATTACATTAAATTGAAACTAAAACAAAAACAAAAGAAAAAATGCACAAACAATCATTGAAAACGTTGTGGAAGGCGGGCGGGCATGCGGCTTTAAATTTTAGTTGGCTGGCTAGTTATGTACACCGCTGGGCTTTAGACAGTAGCTCTCCGTCCGTTGGTATTAGTGGCGTTTTTCGATATATGTATGCTCTTCTAGCCTGAGGTGGAGAGTGCTGGCCAAGAAGCAATAACAATAATAAAAAAAAACACACGCGCGAGTTACGTATAATCATACTACCCCTGATAAAATTGATAAGTTCTTGGAAACAATTAGCCAATAAAACGTGTACAATTATTGCACTGTAAGCATAAGTGAATTTGACATTCTTTAGTTTGACTTTATTTTATTTTTCCAGTTAAAACTGTCTGGAGCTGAGTATACAATTATTTACAAAAGTGTGTTAATCAAATTTCATTTAAAATAAACTTATGCTAACACTGCAATAATTAATTAACAAATAATACCTGTAGAATAAGTAAATTAAAAATGTAAAAGTTAGTCTTAGTTCCATCCTCTTAGTCGCAAGTCGACGAATAAATAAATAAAAGAAAGAAAAAAGAAAAAAAAACAATTTTTTTTTAATAAACATAATTAATCAGGTTATCTAATTGGCGCAGTCGGTAGGATCCTTTAGGAATTAAAAAGGATCCAGTGAAACGTACCTAAATTATAAATAATTAAATAAATTCTGCGAATCCTACGGGACCCTCCAGGATTATAAAATAAACATTAGTGCAGTGAATAATTAAAAAAAAAAAAAAAAAAAATTAAACACCACTAAAATAAACAATAGTGCAGTGAATAATTCAAAAAATTGAACACCACTAAAATAAACAATAGTGCAGTGAATAATTCAAAAAATTGAACACCACTAAAATAAACAATAGTGCAGTGAACATTTAAGTTAAGTGGACACCACTAGATAAAGGAAGTCAATCCTTTTTTTTTCTCTTTTAAAAGTGTATTCGCAAAGGCAAAAAGTCTTCGACAAACGAAGAAGAATGGAGGAACAAGCTCACATCGCATCCGTAAATGTGGCAGAAGAACTAGCCAGAAAGGATCAACAATTGGAACGGTTACGCCAAGCATATCTAGAATTGCAACAGCAAACACAAGAACTACAACAACAACAGCGTAACCCGGTGTTATATGATACACAATCAAATAATGCAAAAGACAACATTTTAAAAACGATAAATCATCTACCCATTTTCACCGGCACCGGAGAAGTAACGGTGAACAGCTTTTTTAGTAGCACTGAATACTTGCTGTCAACTATACAAGATGAAAATATTAAGAAGGAGGCCATAAGAACAATATTCTATAAAATAATCCAGGGACAAGCTAAAGACGTCATAATAAACATACCCACACCGGACAACTGGCAATTAATCAAAGAGACTTTAAAACTAAGGTATAGACCGAACGTGGAACCACACAATATATAGGATGATAGCCAACTTAAAAGTAAATTCGGTAAGTGAATTAATAATAGAGTTGCAGAATCTAAAATATAAGGCAGATGAGTTAATAGTTTATTACCGAAATGACCACTATATTGACTTATCAAACGTGGACAGTCTTTTAGTAAATACAATTAAGGAAATGACACAAGGTACACTGTTAGACAAAATTTACGAAGAAAGAAACATTAATGATATATTAAAATATTGACAAGAAGGAGATTTGAAGACACATGCATTAGGCCAGAATATAGGAAGTTTAGGACTAAAGACGACGTAACATTTAGACAAAATCGGTCGCAAAATAGGAATAATTTTAATCCGCAGATTAACAGTAATAACCAGGGATATAATCAACGGAATTGGTTAGGACAAAATAATTTTAGGTCAGATATTAGACAAGAACGAAATAATAATGATAATAATAAAACCTATAATAATAATAATAACGATAACTATAATAGGAATAGAAACTTTAATCATTCAGGACAGTATAGAGTCCAACAAAATAACAGTTATAATAATAACTATAATAATAGGAATCAAAATGGAAATTTTAATCATTCAGGACAGTATAGAGTCCAACAAAGTAACTATAATAATATGTCGGGAAATTTCAGAAGGTTTCAGCAACAGGTAGGAAACCCTAGGCCAAATTTCAGCCAAAATCGCTTGAATCAACCTAGGCAAGACCAGCAGGAACCTATGGAAATAGACAATATAGAAGTAGATAATTATCGAGTAGTAGGAAACTCTGAACCAAATTTACATCAGGATAACGGACAAGACCAAAGACAAAATAATTTTTTTCGGAAACAACCTCCGATTGTTTACCTACCATAACCATTACGATTAATAAAAGGAAATATAAAGCTTTGATTGATACAGGCGCAAACTTAAGCCTGATTGACAGTAAGGTAAAAGATTTTGAACGAGTTTTACTAAAACAACCTATAGAATTTAGCACCATAACTAGGAAGGACATAATTAAATTTGAAGTTATAACTGACGCACCTATGGAATTTAACTTACCAAATTATACAAAAATTAAGTGGAAAATGCAAGAGTTAAAAGGAAGAAAGTACAATTTTATTATAGGAGTTGATTTACTAAACCATTTTAACACGATGATAAATTTAATAGACGGACACATAACATTTAATAACAAGATTACAAAATTTTTAATTAATCCATATAAGGATTTGGAAATATGTTCATTGGAAAAACTGGAAGTTGACTTGGACAGAATTCAGTTGAATCATTTAAATGCAGAGGAGCATTTAGAAGTTACGAGAATTTTAAGAAGATTCGACAAAATATTTTTTAAAGAAGGGGACCAATTGACAAGTACAATGACAATAAAACATGAAATAAGAACGACAACAAATGAACAGATAAATTCCAAATTATACAGATATCCGCCACAACATGAAGAAGAAGTACGACGACAGATCAGGGAAATGGAGGAACAGGGCATAATTAGGAAAAGTTGTTCAAGATATTCAAGCCCATTAATAGTAGTACCCAAGAAAATAGATAATTCTGGAGAGCGTAAATATAGATTAGTGGTAGATTATAGGAAGCTTAATGAAGTGACGATCGATGATAAATATCCACTACCGAACATAGATTCAATTTTAGATAAACTAGGACGAGCACAATATTTTACTACCTTGGATCTAGCCAAGGGATACCATCAAATTCTAATAAGAGAACAGGACAGAGAGAAAACAGCTTTTGTGACACCTCACGGATTATATGAATTCATAAGAATGCCGTTTGGGTTAAAAAATGCCCCAGCGACATTCCAACGATTAATGAATGAAACACTAAGAGATTTCATTAATAAAACATGTGTAGTTTATCTGGACGATATACTTATTTTTAGTACTTCTCTTAAGGAACACGTTAAAGCCATAACGGACATTTTCACGGTATTGGAACGGGCAAATTTAAAAATACAAATCGACAAATGTAATTTCATGAAAAGAGAGACAGAATTTTTGGGGCATATTCTGACAAAGGAAGGACTAAAACCAAACCCCAATAAAATTAAGGTTATTCAAGAATTAGATTTACCTAAAACAGAAAAACAAATCAAAAGTTTCCTGGGATTAACGGGATATTATAGAAAATTTGTGAGAGATTATGCTAAAGTCGCACAGCCAATAACAAAATACTTAAAGAAAGGTGTAAAAATAAATTTAAGGGACCCTACATACATAGAAGCTTTTGAAAAATTAAAATCTTTAATTAGCTCTCATCCAATTTTAAGATACCCAAATTATGAAAGACAATTTACATTAACTACAGATGCGTCGAATTACGCAATCGGTGCTGTCCTGTCACAGGAGGGACATCCAATTTGTTTTGCATCAAGAACGCTTAACAATCACGAAAGAAATTATTCGGCAACGGACAAAGAATTTCTAGCAATATTATGGAGCGTTAATTATTTGAGACCATACCTCTATGGTCGAAAATTTAAAATACTTACGGATCACCAACCCATCAGATTTTTACACACAAAATATAGAGGGAAAGACATGTCACCCAGGCACCAGCGATGGTTTTTGAAATTAGGAGAATACGATTTTAATATAGAATACATAAAAGGCAAGGAAAACAAGGTGGCAGATTTTCTAAGTAGAATTGAGAAAGATAATGAAGATGATACCATTTCAGATAAGGTACAAAATTCGGAGAATAATTCAGAATTGAGAATAATAAATAATATTGAGGATGATGATGATGTATCAATGATTACAATTCATTCAGCTGATGAAAATTTACAAGATCATTTCTTTATAAAAGAAGAAATAGTGAATAAGTACAGGACACAGATTATACTTACAAATGATAAAGTTCAGGAAATAAAACATTTACATAATAAAAGGATAATTTTCATAGCGGAAAGTGATTTTCACGAAATGGGGGAAATATTTAGAAAGTATATTACCAAAGGAAAAATAGGTATATTTTCGGAAGTATCGGAGAGAAGCTATAATACTGTTCAGGAAAAACTAATAGAAATGTACTCTAATGAGAAACAAGTGGAATTTATTAAATGCACTATCAGGGCTCAAGATATAGAAACAGAAGTGGAGGCGGTGAAACAGATATCATTATATCATGTAAAAGAAAGTATGCACTCGGGCATACAGGAAACCTATAACCAAATAAAAAAATAAAATTTATTACCCAAGATTAATGGAACTAATTCAATTAGTTATAAATCAATGTGAAGTTTGTCAGGAGATAAAATATGATAGAAATCCAATTAAATTGAAATTCTCATACACAGAAACACCGTCGACGAAAAACGAAATAATACATATTGACACATATGTGATTAAAAGATTTCATTTTTTGACAATAATTGATAAATTTTCTAAATTCGGTGCAGCGTATCCATTGAATGATAGAAATCATTTAACAATAATGGAGCAATTAGATGATCATTTTACAAAGGTAGGGAAGCCAAGGAAAATAATAGCCGATAATGAATTTAAAACCACTAGACTAAAGGAATTCTTAGACAATGAAAATATAGAATTGCATCTGACCAAACCTAATAGTCACACGGGAAACGCCGACATAGAACGATTTCACAACACAATTGCGGAAAAGTTTAGGATAATGTATAAAGCAAATAAGGAAATACCGGTGAAACAATTAATTCAGAGATCAATTAGAAATTACAACGAACGATATCACTCAACTATTAAATGTACTCCTAAAGAGGTTCAACAAGGAAAAATGGATGAAAATAAAGTTAGAAAGTATTTAGAGGACAGTAAAAGAAAAATAATAGATAAAATAAATAACTCTAGAGAAGATTATAAGGAAATAGAAAAGAAGGGTTTATAAAAAATTATAAGGCCGTCCGACATAAGGAACAACCGAAATATAAAAAGACAAAACTGGAGCGAATACATCCGTGCAATATTAAAAGACCTTTGAAATTTGCAGATTTGGACAATACTGATGATACTAATATGGATACCACAGACTAGAGGGATAATTACTACAAAATTTCTGACAGAACAAAGAGGATATATGGACATTTGCATGGGAAATCAGAAAATTGTTAATGAATCGGACATAATTTTACATATAATCAATCTTCACGAAATTGAAACAATTTTAGATGACATAACAGATAACATTATTCTAATGAAAATCGAAAACAAAGAATTACTTGAGTTAGAACTATTAGATGCCAGAAATAAATTAATGACGTTGATACCCAAACAAAATAGAAAAAGACGTGGACTAATTAACGGTATAGGAAGTATGACCAAATGGTTATTTGGGACGATGGACGATGAAGACAGACGGAACATACAAGAACATCTTCTTAATATTAATGAAATTAAGGAAAATAATAATCAACAGATTGTAATTAATGATTATTTCAATATAACTTTAAGTCATTTAAAGATGGTAATTAAGAATGATAGAAAGAAAATAGAACAAGAATTAAACTCTATAAACAAATTTTTAGAGGAAGAAAATAATAAAAGTTTATACTTAGAACAATTGACTAATATACAATTAATTAAGAATAAGATAGAGCATTTGCAAGACAACGTAATTTCTGCAAAATACGGGATTGTACACCCAAGTATTTTAACAAGTAGAGAAATAAGAAAATATGAAATAGATTATAACAAACTTAAATATATTCAGTTTGGAACAACATTTCTTAACAACTCTTATCTTGTGTTTGGAATAAAAATACCTAAACAATTTATAACAGTAAAATTAAGATTTATTGTACCAATACCAGATAATGAAAATAATGAAATAGAATCTAATATGGAAAGATTTTTTGAATTTCAAAATAAAACTTATAAATTTGAAGAGAATAAACATTTAAAAGATTTAAAGTTAAGTCATCATTGTTTAATAAAGAATAATTGTCAATTGATAAAAAAAATAAAGACTTTGAAATTATACAGTTAGATATAGACACAATTATAATTAAAAATGCAATAAACACGACTGTAAATCAAACTTGTAACTTTGAAAAAATTTTGTTAAATGGAAATTATTTAATTAATTTTAATAATTGTTCAGTTAGGATAAAAGATTATTATTTTTCAAATATTGCAGAAATTACAAAAGAAAGACAAATAATTGAAAATACAAACAAAACTCAAAATTTTAAACATAAGATATCGTTCGAACAAATTGAAAAAGAACATCAATACAATGTAAGAAATATCGGAAAATTAAAATACCACACTAAAATAACATATGTATGTAATATTTCTATAGTAATTGTAATAATTATTTTAATTTTCATAATCATAACAAAACATAAATATATAACTGTAAAATTAAATAAAAGAATTCAGGAGAATTCTAGTCTAAAGGGGGGAGTAGTTACGTATAATCATACTACCCCTGATAAAATTGATAAGTTCTTGGAAACAATTAGCCAATAAAACGTGTACAATTATTGCACTGTAAGCATAAGTGAATTTGACATTCTTTAGTTTGACTTTATTTTATTTTTCCAGTTAAAACTGTCTGGAGCTGAGTATACAATTATTTACAAAAGTGTGTTAATCAAATTTCATTTAAAATAAACTTATGCTAACACTGCAATAATTAATTAACAAATAATACCTGTAGAATAAGTAAATTAAAAATGTAAAAGTTAGTCTTAGTTCCATCCTCTTAGTCGCAAGTCGACGAATAAATAAATAAAAGAAAGAAAAAAGAAAAAAAACAATTTTTTTTTAATAAACATAATTAATCAGGTTATCTAATTCGCGCGCTCAATCGTTTTGGGGCGTTTAACCAAAAAGAAAAACAAACACACAGCTAGACACACTTGGCTTAAAACAATTTTTATGTTAATTTCAATTCACTTTTTTTTCGACTTCTTTGCTGCTGCTCCGAAAAGTTGGACTCTCCCGCGCGTAAAACACTTTTTACTTTTTATTTAACTATTTTTTTTCTTTCTTTAATTTCGATTTTTTTTTTGGATTTCAATTTCGTTTCGCAGACGACACTAAAAAACTTTCAATTACAAATTTTTTTCCTGTTGATGGGTTTCTGTGAGCAGACGGGGGCTTCTTCTTCTCCAGCTGCTGAACTATTTTTTCCAAGTGATTTGAATTTTTTTTAGATTTTTTTTTTAATTCGTTTCGATTTTGTATTGATTGGATTTTTCTATTTTTGGTTTGATTTGAATGAATGGAACTTCACTTTTTTTTTTTTGATTTTCTGGCCTGAGGTTTTGGTCTGTGTTAATGGGGCCAATAATTCACTTTCATTTGGGGATTTTTATGGGTTTTACATGAGCGATTTTTTTATAGCGTCTAGAAAGCAAAAGTAGGTTAAAGCGTTTCAAAAATAAACAGAGGAAATTGATTTTTTTTTAACAAAAATACTTCAAGAATTTAATTTTTTTGGAATTCAATTTTTTTTTTTTTTTGGAAAATATCAAAATTTCTTTAACTCCAAAAAAATCCAGAATTTTGATTTTTTTTTTTTTGAAAATCAATTTTTTCCAAATTTCCCTTTCAATACTGTTTTTCTCATAAAAATATAAATTTTCAAGAATTTAGATTTTTTTTTTGGAAATTATTTTTTTTAAATCAAAATTTTTCTATCAATACCGTTTTTTCTCAAAAATTATTAATTTTTCAATTTTGTATTTTCCATAAATTTATTGTTTATTTTCAAGCTTTCTTTGCAAACATCCATGAAGCGTGAACGAAATATAAATCCTCCAAAAAACGTTGCTAGACCAAGTTTCTTTTTTTTCGCTTTTTGTATTTTTTGTTGGGTTTCCTTTTTGGCCACCGGCAAAAAAACCAGCAAATTTTTGTAACCGCAAAAAATCAAAACTGTATATGAAAGCAAGTGCTATTGATTCCACCTGGCGGGTTTTTGTTGTTGTTGCTGCTTTTTCTATTTTATTATTATGTGTTTTTGTTTTATTTTTGGGGAGGTGGTGTTGGTACGGCTAGATTTTAATACCACCGCAAGTTGGAATAAAACACAAGTTAAACTCTTGAAATCTCGTCACTAACTAAACTAATTTTACTAAACACAAGACTAAAACGTTTGCTTGAAATGAGTAAGCCGTCAGTCAAACAGCCAGCCAGCAAGCCGTTCGCTCGTTCGCTCACAGAGCCATACAAAAAAAACATACAAAGCAAAACAACAAAGCTATCGTTTTACGGCGAATTAAAGAAAAAAAAAATGACTCCCAATACAAAACTCAATGGCTAGCCAAACAAGCAGCCAGCCAGCCAGGCAAACAAACCGTTCGTCATGCATGCAGACACTATGACATCCAGCCAAGCGTGCCAGAAGTTTAGTCAAACCTTTCGCTCTCAGCCCAAGCGAAAACATAATGAGAGCTCCCCATTGAAGTTGGATCAAACCAAGTATTTATTTTTTATTTCAGAAACAGAAACAAAAACAAGAAACATGGCCAACACACTCTGGCATGTTAGCCAAGAATTAAGTCAAACAACTCCCGGTTCTTGCATCAGCCCAAACAACTGAAAAAAATTGCAAATCAAGCAACTCTAACTTGCAGGCCAGCAGCCAGCAAGCCATCAAGTTCAAGTTCCAATGCTAAAACATGTTGCATGAAATGCAGTTTAATTGAAAATTATTAAGCTCGAGCTGGTTTGATCGAACTTAAGTAAGGTTTAGTATCATGATTCAATGGTATGATGTTGGAAGACAATTCATTTGGCAGAGATGTCGTTTTGGATCATAAATTCCAACATTCAAGAAATTAAAAAGGACTTGAAAAATTAGACCTAAAATTTTTAAAAAAATAAACTTGAAATTACTCCTAGAAAGTATGGCCAAGAAACAGACCCCAAAATATCTGCAAAAATATTTTTAAATAAGTAAAAAAGCTGCAAGCTGTAACTTTTAATACCCTCCAATATTTGGAAGGAATTTGGCAATTTTCAAAAAAATCAATCCGTTAAAAATGATCTTAAAATCTTAAAAATACCGAATATAGCCATTCTATTAGGGTCTATAAGACTAAATTGTAAAATGTAGCTAAAATAATCAAAATACAGAATAAAGGGAGGGCTATACCAAAACGTGGACCTGCACAGACAATTTTCTGTCATAGGCCTTAGTATCCATTATGAACTTCAAATACCAAATTTGAAACAATTCCGGTGAATAATGTCGCTAAAATTAAATTGAAAATTGTTTCTAAATTTTTTGAAAATGCATGCCTCACATCGGTCTACAAAAATTGAAAATTGGATCGAAAGGGTTTTAAAATAGATTCTAGAAAATTACCCAAAAATTCACGCCCTAAAAAATCTTAGACCCAAAAATGCCGTTTGAAAAAGCATGCCTAAAATAGGTCTACAAAAAATGAGAATTGAGGTGACATGAAAATTATTTATTAAAACTCCACGCGACATATTTATTTTCAAAAAATATATCCTGAAAAATATGCCTTAAAATTAGAGCTTCAAAAATGTTTCGAAAAATAGTCCTTGCAATAACACTTACAAAAATCATGGGTACATTTTTTTTTAAATAAAATAACAAAAAAAAAAATAAGATTTGTATTGGCATGAAAATTAATTGAAAAAACTCCGCGCAGCGAAAAGGTCTAAAAAAATTTATCCTAAAAATATATGCCCACATATGGCGACGTGCAGATTTGGACTATATTGGTTACTTCCTTCACTTTATATGAGATATGTGATAATTTTTAGAAAATGTTAAAATGTGCGTGAGATACCAAAATATATATTCGACTGAAGTATACCATTCTCACACGTCATTTAATACAGAATGTGTGAAATTTGAAGAGAGTTGGATACTTATTTTGCTTTCTTGCGTTTTTTTCGTTTTGTTTTTCGAAATCTTGAACCCTATGTGGTGGAAGTACCGGAAGAAATTTTTTTATCTCTACCATCTTTATAACAGCTCTGGTATTGATGGAAATATTGAGATGTACCAAGTCTGAATGGAATCGGATGTTAATTTCTTCGTAGGGGAGGTAGAATAAGTAATGGTCCGATCTCTACCGTTTTTGTAACAGCTCCTGTTTCGATGGAAATATTGAGATGTACCAAGTCTGGAATGGAATATGAAGTTAATTTCGCGTTTTATGTACTTAATGGATATTCAAAATTTCGACCTTTTGTGGGGGAGGTACCAGAATGAATGAACCGATATATTTCATCTTAACATCAGATCTTGAGTTTTTCAAAATATTAGGATGTGTGAAATTTGAAAGACAGTCGGATTCTTACATCACATTTTATAAGAGTTGTAATTATTCAAAATTTTGGCCCTTTGTGGGAGTTTACCGATATTGTCCATTTTCGCACCTCACCTAGCACTGACGCAAATATTAGGATTTGCAAAGTTGGAGCAAAATCGGATTATCGGTTTTCTTTTTGTGCAGAAAATATATTTTTTGAAAATTTCGACCTTTTATGGGGGAGGTATCAGAAGGAGTGGACCAATATATTCCATTTTCTCACCACACCTTGGGTTAATAAAAATATTGAGATCTGTTAAATTTGAAGATAATCGAACTCGTACATCACATTTTGTAATTATTCAAAATTTGTGACCCTTTGTGGGGGATGTACTTCTTGGAGTGGACCGATATTGTCCAATTTCGTACCTGATCTAGAACTGACTGTAATATTAGGATTTGTAAAGATTTGTAAAGGAAAATCGGATTATCGTTTCTCTTTTTGCCTTATGGTACCAGAAGGAGTGGTCCGATATTGCCCATCTCCGAGCTCGATCTAAGTTTTACTATAACATTACGATGTACCAAGTTTGGATCAAATCGGGTACTAAAACCGCTAATCCGACTAGGCACGTTTTGACCGTATCAAATGATATATATCCTCTCTAGCCATATGGCTGAGAGTATAAACATGTACTATTTTAAAAGACCTCAGAAATATATTCCTTTAAAAAAAGACACGCCTTAAATAACCTTACAAATATATTCTTCAAAAAATCAACTACTCAAATCGACCTACGAAATTAATTTTTAAACCGCCACAAATAGGTTGTGGAAAAACAAAATATTGTTAAAAAATCCATTCTCAAATAGTGCTCAGAAAAATATTTCTCAAAAAATTCACAACTCAAATGTATCTTTCTTTAATTCTTTAAAATCGCACACAAATTATTCTGAAAAAATTACGTATGAAATTAATCTCAGAAAAAGTATTGATTCACAATCCTCGACCCATTCATGGATATCAGAAAACTACTTTTTAAGAGAACGTTGTCAACATTTTTCATTTGAACTTGGAAAATCGACTGAAAAAATATTCTGTAAAAAATCTACGTCATGTCTTGACCATGAAAAATATTCTTTAAAAATCCACTGCCGAAAATATATTCTTTAAAAATCCACTGCTGAAAATATATTCTTTAAAAATCCGCGCCTGAAAAAATATTCTTTAAAAAATCCAATCACGTCTATATCATGAAAAAATGTTCTTTAAAAAATCCAAGGCTTAAATATTTCTTTATTTTTTGAAAATTTATTGATTGTTTAGTCTTAGTTCATGTTAATTGAGATCGTAGCAAACTCTCAACATATCCCATCCAGCCACTGCATCATACCCAACATGTTGGCGATGCATGAAGAGAGAGCGAGAAACTTTTTTAAGGCAGCGAAATATTTGACGGAAGCTTCACGTAACTTAGCAACATAAACAAAATAACAAGCTTCCAACTCAACACCTTCGATTTTTATGGCGAAAACAATAAAGCCGATACATACATGCAGCAAAAAATATATACAATCAGAGCGCCAAATTGTAAGACTGCCTGACGGAGCGACTGACAAACATCTCAAAAACAAAGCAACAAAATGAAATAGAATTTGCTTTCTCGTCATATTTTTTATTTGCAGTGGTTCATGAATCAAAGGGACAAGTTGGATTTGTTGGTCGCTAAAGTATTTTACTGAAACAATACCAAATTGTAGGCCACAAAATAATCCCTCAGGAGAGGAGAAATCAGGAGAGTGGATGGCCCTTCACAAGTCTTTCGCAGACACAAGACCTTCCATAAGTCTCTTATATACAGAAGACCTCTTACCCATTTAAAAAGCCTTTTATATGTATCCTATGGCTTGAAAACCTTTTACCGGTCTCCTAAAGATAGAAGACCGTTTCGAGGCCTCCTATAAATGAAGAATCCTCACTGGTGCCCCATGTATTGAAGACATTTTCCTATGGCTGGAAAACCTTTTACAGGTCTTCTAAATATAGAAGACCCTCTACATGTATTTTATAGGCAAGATACCCTTGACAGTTTTCCTATAGAAAAAAAAAACATTTTTCAGGTCTACTATACAGGGTGAGATAAAAGACTGCAACAAAGTCAAACGCCATAAATTTTACATTTTTTTTTAAATTTTTAATTAAATGAGAGCAAAAAATGTCGGAAATAGCATCAAATTTTAGAATAAGTTTAGATTTATTCGAATTGGTCACCTTTGGCACGAATTATGGCCTTCAAACGGCCAATGAAACCGTCACACGCTGCCCGAATGTTGCTCTGTGGTATTTTAGACCATTCCCGGCGAAGCGCTTGTTTGAGGTGATCGACACTTTGGTATTTAGTAGTGCCAACCTTGCTTTTCAAAATACTCCAGACACAATAGTCCAACGGATTGGTATCCGGAGATTTTTGTGGCCAATGTGCGCTGGAAATGAAGCGATGAACCTCATTTTGTAACCATTCTTGGGTGACGCGTACTGAGTGCGATGGTGCTGAGTCCTGTTGGAATGTCCAAGGTCTGCGGCCAAAATGTTTGGGTGTCCAAGGCTTGAATACACCCTCCACAATATTTTCGCGATAATATTCGACATTTATTCTGATGCACAGTCGATTTATGCAAGCGGAGAGCGACCATCGGCTGTTATGGTGGCCCACACCATCAACATGGCCGACGTTTGAGTTCTGGTGGCCAACTGCAGGTGCACATTTTCAGCTGACCTCTTTGGCAAGTAAACACCATCATTTTGTTTGTTTACAAACTGCTGGACGACGAAGGTATTCTCATCGGAGAAAACGAAATTCGGCAGT